TTTGTAAGGTCGGTATGTATGTACCTTATACTATGATCCTTGTGATATAAACCGGCCTCGATTCTTTCCAACAATAGTTGGCTTTCAAACAATGACCACGGTGTAGGTTCGTACTGAATTGATCGGCTTCCTTTAGCTTTGTTGTGTATTACCATGCAAAAAAATTAGTAAATACAAGATTTTCATTATAAATTGATTTATGGATAACCGATGAAAAACATGGTGATAATTAAAAACATGTGAAGTTTTGAATCATTATTGTGCTGTTCAGTGAATCCATCGAAATCGAGAACATGATACTTTTAAATTGAAATAGAGAATGTAATTTTTTGTAGTTGAAACATACTAGTTGCTATGTTCAGGCTCTAGATGGAGAATATAAAGAGATAAAGCAAGAATAACCTCAACCTCATTGGCCTGCTGAGATTATGTACACCATCATGTAGCTTGATTTCACCCACCTTTTCTGATTATGATGCAAACATTGTCATATGATTGTGTCATTTTGCATGCAAACACAAAATGCAGACTGGTGCTAGATACATTAAATACATAGCCCACGTTTCCCATCTTGATGTTTTGGATGAATTGGCTAGTACATTTACATGCTAGATTATATTAGAATCCATCAAAATAATCATTTTCTAATTTCATTAGGGATAAGTATATTTTTCGTCCTCGAACTCTTCTGAGAGTTTAGAAATCGTCCTTCAACTTCAAACCGGATAGTTTTTGTTCCTCAACTATCAAAACCAGATAGTTTTCATCCCTCGTGCCGCTTCGGGAAGTTTTAGTATGCGGTGAACAGTAAAATTGAAAAAATAGCAAAAAATAAAAAAATCTGAAATTTTACAGCATAGAAGATACTCTGGTGCGCAAGACCCATGCAAAATTTCATGTTGTTTCAACATTTGAGCAGCTCGTGACAAACAAAAAACTGTAAATATGTACGTTGGTGAACAGTAAATTTAAAAAAATAGCAAAAAAATGAAACTTTTTGGCATCAAAGATGCTCAGGTAGGTAAGATGTGTGCAAAATTTCGTGATCAAATGACACACGAGGAGCTCTAGCAAAAAAAATGACACACTTTTTCAAAAAAGTAAATTTGAGCCAAGTTTTTTTTTGCCCCAAGTTGCCCAAACACCATGAAAATTTTCACGCATGTTGCACACCCAAGCCTCTTTGATGCCAAAAAATTCATATTGTTTTGATTTTGTTTGCTATCTTTTTGAATTTACTGTTCACCGACGTATATATTTAGAGTTTTTTGTTTGCCACGAGCTGCTCGAATGTCGAAACACAACGAAATTTTGCACGGTTCTTGCGCACTAGACTATCTTCGATGCTGTAGAATTTCAGATTCTTTTGAATTTTGTTGCTATTTTTTTGATTTACTGTTCACCGAGTTACTTTTCACCGCGTACTAAAACCGCCCGAAGCGGCACGAGGGACGAAAACTATCCGGTTTTGATAGTTGAGGGATGAAAACTATCCGGTTTGAAGTTGAGGGACGATTTCTAAATTCTCAGAAGAGTTCGAGGACGAAAAATATACTTATCCCATTTGATTATGATAGTGGATGTCTGTTACAATCCATCAAAATAACTCTTTCCAAAATTTACTGATGATAGCAGACGCCGAAGGTTATTAGGACAACTTGCATAAGGAATTATCAAATCGGGACAACTGAGGTTTTATGCAAAATTGCCAACAATCTAGTGAAACATGACCGGCTTACCCTAGCAGCCGATTCGCTTGTTTCACTAATTGCAAGAAGCCGTGTAACTGTGTCTTAATCATAAGAGTATCATGTAGTGTATCCTAAAAGAAGATGATGTTGCATTATAGGTAAGAGAGAGAGAGAGAGATATAGAGAGAGAAGAGTCCAGCACATCTTTTGATACAATATCATAGAAGATCAAATGAGGAAAGTTAGTAATAAATACTTCCTCCGTCCGGAAATACTTGTCATCGAAATGGATAAAAAGGGATGTATCTAGAATTAAAACACATCTAGATACATTCCTTTTATTCATCTTGATGACAAGTATTTCCGGACGGAGGGAGTAGATAATATCAACAAATTATAATGAGGTTCTAAAAATGAATAAATTAAATAATAGTATGCTACTAGTGTAAGACACTAATGCAATGTGAATGTAATGATTAAAGTAGTATTGTGCACTACTATTCTGACACATATGATAGTATGCATTTAAGTGGCCTAATGTTTGGGTGATATTGTGGTGCCCTTTATTTTGCGAAATTCTCGCTATCTCATCCTAACCATACCCCAAAACTGAAAGTTTTTAAACTAAAAAAGAAGAACATGCAAAAGACTTCAACCCAGTCGGTTGATACAAGGCGTCAGTCGCCTTGTGAGACGCTATGTGTCTGTGCCACTCTCCCATCAAGTCTTGAGCTCATGTTTCTTTTTTCCTTTCCCCTCTTATCCTCTTATCTCTGAACGTCTCGTCAAGACATGCATTGCTCTCTCTCTCTCTCTCTCTCTCTCTCTCATCCTCTGTCCTCTATCCTCTTCACAAGCAACCAGGTCGTGCACACCTTCCAATCATGCTAGCCTTTCTTGCAAAGCAGAGGCATCATACACAATTTAGAGACAAGATGGCCTCGCCATTGCTGCCACAAGGAAATGTGGGTTGCTACAACATCGACTCGGTGCTATAGTGCGAAGGCACCGCTTGTCGCATGCTTCTGCAAGGCAGACACTTGAGGAAGTGGGTGGCCAATGTTGTAGCAGCGGATCTCACCACTCTAGGAAGCAGACAACAACTGCTGCAACTGTAGATCTCGTCACCCAGGGGAAGTCGACTGCGAGTGTTGCAAGCCGACTACCATTGTTGCAAGTGCAAATCTCACCAGCGATGCAAGGTCATCGGTAGGTGTTGCAAGCTGCAAGACATGGATGTACACATAGCCAATGGCGGGGACTGACGCTGCAAAGGTTGAGCCGCTGCATGTTGTCACTGCTACAAGAGGCATCGATAGTAGAGGAATGGATGTGAGTTATGTAAAGATGGGGCGCGGCACTTAAAAGGGTCGGTGGTGGAGGGAAGGGGGTTCTACTGGATCTAACGGTTAGAGACATGCCAATCGAACGACGCATGAGGCAACTGATACACCACGTTTGGGATCAACCGGCTGACGCCTAGCGCCCGCCAAAAATGATTCAGCTCTTGAATGGCAATAACTGCAAAACTTAGGAGTATAATAGGTTGTACATGATCGTGTATCCATCAAAATTCGTTCAGAAAACCATCTGTAAATGCCACCGTCGTTTTATTCCAACAAGTATAATCTAGCAATTCCGTCGATGATAGTGACACTGTATGGCAGAAATTAATGATTACATGTCCTACGGATTCTATCTTCCCCTTTTCCGCCCTAAAAACCCAAGGACGGTCATAATTCACGGAGAGATAGAAATCACTATCAGAAGGTTCAACACTCAAGAAAAGCGAAGTGATAGAAGCAACTGTTACGTGGTGGAGACACTACTTCGCCTCCACTACCAAGGTGAGACTAAACAGAGCACCTTCACCTCTTGCCTTACATTTTTATAGAACTAGATAATACCCCGCACGTTGTTGCGGAAATATTTTGTAACATATCTCAATATGATTCATTGGATGAAACATATATAAAAGGGTAAAACTGAAACTACATATAATTTATTATGTTTGATCACTATATGGTTGTAAAAAATTTATTAAATATAAATAGAATAAATAATAGAAATTCACATGTTGAGATAGGTCTTCTTTCATGCAGGTTTCATGATGAAGTGGCATGCTTGCATGTTGCGAGACATATGTTAATAAGTGTGGGTCTTTTCTCGTGCATGTTGTACGATGATGTGGCGTGCTTGCATGTTAGGAGAAATAGTTAGTGGAGGCTAGCTATTTAGATATAGAAGATTTCTTGCCTTACATTTTTATAGAATTTCTTGCGTTACATGAAAACTTAAGATTTATTAGAAATTAGAAATTAGTAAATGACCAGCCCAGAACTGTTAATAGTTATTATCTCAGTACCAAATTAAATGTCTTAGATTTATTTGGATATGAATATACCTAGTACTACAACGTGTCTAAATACATCTGTACCTAAACAAATCGAAGACAAGTAAGGGTTTAGGATTTAGGGTTTAGGGTTTAGGGTCTGTCTAGGACACATTTAGATGTGACATAAATTATGTTACATCTAAACTGGTGTCCACTTTGTTTGTGATCTTTTTTTTTCTAGTTTTATTTGGTTTCTTGTTGTTGCATTATATATTTATAGGAGCTTAGATGTGACATTCTTAAAAAACATCTAGATGTGAATTAGACAAACTGTACAAGTAATTTGAGATGGAGGAAGTTTTTTTTTGCGTGAGTATTCTCTCCTCTCAAATACGAAGTATATCTAGAAAAAGAACTGAAAGTTTGTACTCCCTCTATTTCAAATTTGTTTCTCAAATGGATGTATCTAGCACCGAATTAGTGCTAGATACATCCATTCAAAGGACAAGCTTGGGACAAGCATTTTTTAGACGAAGGGAGTACTATACGTCGGTATGTAGTCCGTATTGAAATCTTTAAAAGGTCGTACATTTAAAAACTGAGGGAGTAATTACAAATAAAAAGAAATTCAGCTCGTGTGTGGCAAACTGGCAATAACTGCAAACCTACCGTTCACGACCGAAAAGAAAACTGCAAGTCCGCACCTGTCCGGGGAACCCGTCCCGATCCGTTCCGCAACCAGACCCGGCCAGTTTTCCCCCAGCAAGCATGGGAGTAATTGCGTTGACGACGGGGACGCTGCACGGGGAATCGGGGAGATATTAATCGATTCCTTTTCCTCTGGATTCCGGCCGTCCTTTTCCCGCACTATAAATTCCGGGGCAGCGGCAAGAATCCGCAGAGATCGCTGTCAGAAGGCCCTGCACTCAAACTCAGCAGGTGGAGGGGGGCGATAGAGGCAACGGGCGCCGGCGATGTCGTCGTCGTGGAACTCGGTGGGGCTGGAGGTGCTCTACCAGGTCATCGGGTGGATCGCCTTCGTCGCCTGGTCCTTCAGCTTCTACCCGCAGGTCGTCCTCAACTACAGGCGCAAGAGGTGCTCCTTCTCCCCCCTTCTCTTTACCCCTTTGCCTATAGCGTTCTTGGGCTAGATCTGTTTGACCTGCTGTTCGCCTGCTCCTCAAACGGGTGTATCTAGACGTATTTCAGTGCTAGATACATCCGTTTGAGCGTCATAGTTCCGCACAGAGAAAGGTATGTGTCTTGATTTTGCCAAAAAAAAATCGTCCTATTGATGGATGGACCTGAGAAATTTGTCCGGTACCTGTGTAAGATGGATATGGTGGTAAAACGTGTCAAATACTTAGAAAAAATGCAGCTTTGTTTGAGCTGATGATGAGCCGTGTCTTTGGCTGCTGGAAATTCTACTAATTGTCACGATTGCTTTGCTCCTGTGACAAGATAATGGCCCTGTTTACAGGAGGGGGGCATATGTGCAAAGTATAGGGGAAGGAAACAAAGCAACAGGCAGTTAGTACGGAGTAGAATGAACCTTTGGCGTATAGTAGGACATGTGGTGTATATACGCACCGTAGTTGCTTGTCGTGCTTATAAACTACTCCCTCCATTCATAAATTTAAGATGTTCTAACTTTTTTTTGAATTGTATGTATATAGACACGTTTTAGTGTGTTTGTTCACTCATTCTACTCCGTATATACTCCTAGTTCACATTGAAATATTCAAAACATCTTATATTTACACGTTGTTGTCCCTCCATCATGATTGTTGTCGATTCTTGCAGTTATGGCTAGCTATCATGACTAAGAAAAGCTACTTGTGTCTGAAACTTCCGTCTAACTGGCGCCGTTTTAAATTCGTTATGCGTGAGTTCTCATATTTGGACTTACGCAGAAGTGTACCCTGTAGTGTAATCCTCTTGGTTTGTCCTTCAAAAACGTATGCAGATCTCATAATCTTATCTACCCATTGTAGACATTTCTAGCACCTCAGTTTGGTATGCCCTTTAGTTGTTGAAAATGCGTGCATGTTTAACCTTACTATTTTCCAGTTTTTTCCCTCTATATTTTAGTCTGAACTTTGAAGTATAGTTTGGTAATGTTTCAATTCTACTCAACCAGTCAAGTTTGTGTAGTATTTGATCAGCACTTCTTTTGCCTCACCCTAGATTTACCTTTCGCAATTGTGGCAGTTTGTTAACTCAGTTGTTTTCGTTTGGACCTTTACATTTGTTCAGTATTTATGTTCAACATGCAAATTCAGTTATTTTAAATAGTACTCTGACACAAGAAAAGATGTAGGCCCATCGTGGTTTTCTGTGCAACAGCTCAGAATGTTAGTGATCCAAATATCTATGTTATCATTTAAGATTTGTTCTGTGGTTTACCTGTTTTCACAAATTGCAGTGTCGTCGGTCTGAACTTCGATTTTCTGGTGCTGAATTTCACAAAGCACTCTTCCTACCTCATATACAATGCTGCTCTATTCTTCAGCCCCTTCATCCAGCAACAGTATCATGACAAGTTTGGTGATAAAGAGGTTAGGCGTCACTGCCTTATTTTTACGGATAGTTCATGGTGGGAATAATTTTAGGAGCAACATATTTTTTCAGTGTCATAGCATATTTATGATCTTGCATCATGTCTGGTCAGTTACCCATAGTCCTTATTTTAAATAATAGCCATGCTTGTTAAACACACAATTATCATAACAGGTGCACTGGAACAAAAGGTCTCTGTTCTAGTTTGTTGTATTCCAGAAGAATTATAAAGCTAAATAGTCTTACTGGGGTACATACCCAGAGCATATTTGACTCTGATGATCAAATGGCAAACTAATGGTTTCAGCCACACTTCTATTGGCACAATTAATTTGGATGGGGTAACACGTGGCTGGATCCTTACCTAAGGGACTTCCCTATACTCGTGTGTTTTTATTTCTATGTGAATTAGGCAGGAAGACCATTTTAGCATCTTTATGTTAGCTATACAGATTAACGGTAGAAACTCAAGGTAGCTGTACTATAGATTTTTTTTTTCTTTTCATTGGTATTTATAGCAATCAGTATATTGGTATGCTCAAGGATCTTGCTTTGTGTTTGACCACTCCATTGTGCTACTTATCCATGGTTTGTGCTTGTATGATTTTAATGTTACTGTGATTTTGAAAGCTGCACTTTTTTAAAATTTTGTTAGCTATGATTAGGATTGCCACTCTCCATGAGAGCCATTATTATAGCCAGTACAACTTGTTGATGTCTATCAGGACTATTTTATGACCAATCACCAACTGGTTAAAAGCCATTCTAGACTCAATTTTAGCTGACAAATTTCACATCATTTCTGTGTAACTGAATTTGGTAATTGTCATCTATAGTTCTTTATGGCTTCTTTTATTTGTTCAGGGCAAATATTGGATGCAAATAATTACAAATTGTATTAGTATGTCTAGCAAGTTTGATAATTCCAAAGAAAGTCTAGATGTACATATGATTTGATATTTTTATTAGTAGCATTTATATTGTAATAACATGTTAGTACTTTTAAAGAAAAAGATTCCATTCCATGTATTTTGTTATGTTGTACGTACTTGTGAAACAAAATACGCTAGGTCATTCTTTTATTATCATGACTCCCATCGATCTTGAATAGATGCTGTATTCGGAAGTTTGTAGTTAATGTTCTAAAATCTTGAACATTAATTTTTTTAGATTTGCCACCTAATAATCTTGTTTGATTTATTTTCTGCCACAGATACTCTAATATCATTATATTTTTAATATTGTTTGCTAATATATAGCTACAATAACTTTTTTCTCGAATACGCACGAGTGTGCGTATTGGAGGAGATAGCGGGAGTAAAGAGCCCCTCCACATTGGCATTTACATATTGCGCAACACCAACTCCACCTAGATAGCTACAATAACTACAAAAAAAATTGGGGTAGTATCAAGATTATATCTACCCAGGCCTAAAATTAACATTAACTAAATGTATCGTTTGATGCAGATGATTCCTGTTGCTGCAAATGATGTTGCTTTCTCTCTACATGCAGTGGCCTTGACATCTTTTACCCTTTACCAAGTTTTTATTTATGAGGTTAGTTTACTTGTCCTCAGGGACTGCAGATACATCTTCTAAATCGTGAAACTTAATATCGAATGTTTGAACTTGAAATATACAGCGTGGAAACCAGAAAGTCTCCAAAGTGTGCATATCAATCTCTGCTGTTGTCTGGTCAGCTGCTATTGTTTGCCTCATTGTAGCTTGGCCAAAAAGTAACTGGCTATGGCTTATTGATGTATTCAAGTAAGTTTTTTGTACGTTCACTGTTATTAACATTGCTTGTTATTATCAGCTAAATGTTTTTAATTGATATATCTTGCTTCTGTTCGTAAAAGTGGGACTGATTTTGCTCCTATCTTTTTGAATCTCAGTTCAATACAGGTTGCGATGACAACAGTCAAGTACATCCCTCAGGTATTACTACTTGTTATCATTACTTAAGTTACAGAGTACAACCAAATGACTGTCTCCTGATGTGAATGTTGAACTAGTGATATCATATACGTAGTACAAATTACAAAATATGGACAAAGGAACACTGAAATTCAGCATGATGTATCTGCGTTCAATAATCAGCAGTTGAGAGCATTGTACATAAACTTAACTAAATATGAACACCCCAGATATGTCAAGTTTCCATTGGTTCTTATATTTCATTCGAATGAAGTTTTCTTGTTCTATAATGTACAAATTCTCACTTCGATATTTCTAAACTAGAGCATATATAATAAGTACATAAATACAAGTGGTGTGCTGTTGTTAAGTGTCCTTTCTAACCATTATTATGTTTCCTGTGTGCCTTAGGCTGTGATGAACTTCAGGCGGAAGAGTACAGTTGGTTGGAGTATTGGCAATATTTTACTTGATCTTACAGGGGGGGTGCTGAACTTTGGTCAGATGGGTGTGCAATCTATTGATCAGCGTAAGCTGCATTTTTCCTTTCATTGCAACTCATGTCATGCTCTATGTTATGTATATATATTTGGATTCTTTTCCTAACAATACAAATTGTGCTGCAGACACTTTAGTGAATTTCTATGGAAATATCGGCAAGACTCTTCTTTCATTGGTGAGCATGAGTTATTAGTCTTTTACAGACTATACGTTTTTGGTCACCTGTTAGCTTTCTGACATGTTCTCACAGTATAAAATATTACTAAATTTCATGTCCCTGAATTTGTAGGAAACTGTTTTCTTCGATGTTCTCTTCATAATTCAACACTATGTGTTGTACCCTGTCAAACGGGATGAGAATGGTAAGGCCATCATTTCTGAGAGGGTAGCTCCTCTGATCAGGCCCTCAGATAAGCCTGAAGAAGATAGTGTATGATATATGTACAGTACACGCAGTGCTGTCTCAATTTCTATCTGTTTTAACAAAGATAAACCACGATTATTTTTCATGTATTGTGAATTAACTGCTGTACATATTTCTTCACGGATTACTGTAAAAATTTAAATATTGCAGACCTTCAGTTTTGTCCTTGACATTTATACTTTGTGTAAAGATTTACAAAAAACAATATATAATTGATTTGGCTAGTGTTTATTTGCCTGTTCTATTTCCTTTTGCCTTTGACTAATCACGGCAGCAGTTTTTTAAATATCTACCACCAATGGCATGTTTCAGACAAGAATTTTGCTAAAGTGTGACAGCCACGTGTGCTGACCTCAATTTATTTTATGTTTATTTTTCATGGCATCATTGCTAAACTGTCAAGTTACCGATGGCCTATTTTATTCCTGGTATAAAAGTTTGACTATGGTAAGAAAACGATAGACGCAAATGGAGCTTTGCTTGTTTGCTAACTTGGCCTTTTTTTGGTTAGACTTTATGGTTTCAAATCGAATAATATGTAGACAAACGAGTTATTAAAGATTGGGTGCTCATTAAATGAGTTGCTCAAGGAGTACCGAGCATGCAAGTGCATGTTTTTATCATGTAGTTGAGTTGGTAATTACATGTTATATAAGTACAATTACTGTTTACACTGAAAATACTCTTTAGATTTTCCACGGTAGGAACTGTCTTGCGATTCAACTAGCATTTGAGTTACTCATTTCGAAAATGGCAAATATTTCTACTGCCAAAGTAGGAGCATTTACCGTCAGCGGAAGTTCTTTGAGCGTCTCCAACCCAAACCTAGTCACTAAAGTATCTACCTGCCAGTTAGCTAAAGCAATAGAAAGTGCAACACGGAGGATCTAGTACAATTTTAGTATGCTTTAATTTACTTTTCTCTGTTTATCAATTATCAATGTGCTTACAGAAATCCAATGTAAATCGGAGGGTGTTTGAATTTTGTATGTCTGTTCATCTTTTTTGTTTACCAGACTCTGAGTACCCTGTTCTCCCCGTTCAAGTGAAAGATGGGAAAGATGGGACGGCCGTGTAAACTTGTAGGATTGGAGATGAAGATGGGACGGCTGTGTATACTTGTAGGATTGGAGATGAAGATGGGACGGCTGTGTAAACTTATAGGATTGGAGATGAAGATGGGTCTTATGGGTCCAATGAAGCATGAGGCTCCCAAGTAATAAAAACGTGTGATGGATTTACCAAGGAAAGCAAAAGGGCTCAACGATGAAACGTTCAAAAGAATCCTCCAAATCTGGCATTGTCCACATGTACCCACTAATAAAAATAGTATGTGCATATGTTAGCTAAGAAGAAGCATTGGAAATCAAATATTCTAGTACATGCCAATTCTACTCATGTAGTCTTTACCACAAGAAAACAAACCGCACACAATTCTACTCGTGATTGTTAGCGCAAGTAACACAAAATAAACACACCATGAGTTGACCTATATGTGGATTGGTTATTCTCATCTCAAGATCGTGATCTCGAGTGACAACTAAGAAGTGTATTCCAGGTTAACTTTGATAGGTTAGTTTTGGTGATTGAGAGAAACATCAGTAATGAGAGAAATATCAGTAATGAGATTAAGGCATCGTTGAGATTTTTGCTTCCGCTGATGATTTAATTAATTGGTATATTTTGCACAAACATATACCATGTCCATATACGCCATAAGGTGCTCCATGGGTTTAAGCAAGCAACAATAATACAGTGTCATCGGTATGAGTGCCTTAGGGGTTTTCTAGTCATGAATTGTTTTGTGATTAGAGTACATCTTGAAACCGGTTTTTTGTCAATGGACTCACCTGTAAAGAGGGCAAAATGTCCAAGAATTGCCTTAATCACAGTCAAAAGGTCTTTGACAAGACGAAAATGAAAGAACATTTCTGATCATTGACAAAAACTAGGGTAAACTATTGAGTGGGAATGAACTAGGAAAAATGCTTTGGAGGCTCATCTAACATTTGCGTCAACCTTTGCGTACCACGCGTCCTCATGGGTCCATGCCCATTGCTCTCATACTCGACCTCATCCTCTCCTAGTACTCATTCTTTTTCTCTCCCCTGCTCACAACTCCCCTCCCCGTTTACCTCCCACCCTCCCGTCGCCGCCACTGTTGCTGCAAGGCTACACCACCAATGTCGACCTTGTTGTGCCAGATCCAAAGATGTCGCACGGTGCGCGCGCGCTGCTGCAAGCCGGCCATTGGAGCCGCAAAGGGGGAGGGGTGGCGATGCTGCAAGCATCAGTCCGAGCTGCTGCTAGGGGAGCCTGTCGTGCTCCAAAGGGCGCGTCGTCGGTGTTGCTCCCAGGCGAGGCTCGATGTTGCAAGCTTGACCACCGACGCTACAAGCATGCCGCTCTGCAAAGGTGGTCGCCGTTGTGCTTCTTTGCGGCACGAACTGAACACTAGAGTGTCAGTGTTGCAAGGGCAGCGCGTCTGTTGCGAGTCATTGCTGCAAGTCGGCAGGGGTGGGGGTAGATCTCGTTGCGAGTCGACACTACTCCAGACCTGTTGGCGGCTGGGGTGAGACGAATGGGTGCTGCTGCAGCGGAGCTCGTGGTTTGCGGACTTGCGAGGCGAGGGAAGTGTGTGTTTTGCGAAGGTGCGAGATGAGAAGGGTGGGTGTCGAGGTGGCTGATCCCTGATCTGGCCGGTGCCTAGCATGATGATCCATGAAATAAGGGTAGAAATGTAAAACAACCTTTGTTTAAATGGATAGATGAATATAAAATTATATAGTACATGAATATATTTTAAAGATGTGATGAGCATTTTATTCCATACATACACACATTTTTATTTTTTCCAAATAATTTTTTTTATTTTTTGGAACTGATTTTCTAACATCCTTAATTTTCCACTCTCTCCGCCCCAAAAGGCTTGTTTTAGATTTGTCTTACGGATGTATCTAGACATGTGTTAGAAAGCTAAGAGGTAAGATATGGGTGTTTAGATATACTCCCTCCATCCAGAAATACTTGTCATCAAAATGGATAAAAGGAGATGTATCGAGATGTTTATTACTCCCTCCATTCCAAATTACTCGTCGCAGAAATGGATGTATCTACAACCAAAATATATCTAGATACATCCATATCTTTTTTTTTGAGCATCAGTACAAACACAAGCGCTCATATACACGTGCATACACTCATCCCTATGAACGCACATACGCACACCCTACCCCTATGAGCACCTCCGAGAGACCGAGCCGGCATATCATCTTGAGATTTACGAAGTCACCGTAGGCGCCTCGTCGTCGACAGGAACGTCTTCTCCCACTGAAAGCGCATTGCCGGAAATCCTGAAATAAATCCAGAAATAATGCGAGCATCAGGATTTGAACCCTGATGAGGGAGTAGATACATACATACATACGGAAGTAATATTACTTGTCGCTCGGATGGATGTATGTTTCATCGGAATAGGTCTAGATACATCCGTAGGGACAAGTTAGAGTATTTAAATCCCCTTTCCATAGTTCCTTTTCTTTAAATCTGTTATAAATAAATAATGAAAACGAAACGGGCCCAACTCCTCGGCGACGCCAGCCAACCTCGCGCCGCACTCCACCACCAGACCAGACCAGACGAGAGCGCCCGTAAACGGAAGCCGACGCCACCGAGAGCGGCCAGCCGAACCCGATGCCGCCGCCCAACTCCTCCTCCCTCCCGCTCG